GGAAAATATCTTGTTTTCTCCAAGAGGGTGTTTTTATTTTGTATTTATTATTTCTATTTTTTATTTTATTATTCTAAATCCGTCGAAAAGCCTTCCACGAAACCTCCATGCTTTATAGTTTTACAATATGATCTGCAAAAACTTTGTGTTTACGATTTTCCAAGGCAAAATTGATATCCTTCAAGGTTATCCATAGTAGCATTTACTTATCAGTGCAATCTTATCCATTCTAAATCAAAATTCTGTCTGGGGTGAGTATTTTCTTGTTAGAAGAGAAATACAAATCACGTATTTTGTACTATCATCAAGAACATTTGCTAGTCTAGCCATGCTGTTTACCACTCATAGGAAAAAAAATGCAAGAGCCCTCAAGGAAAAGAATAGCCGATTTCACCCCGAAAAGCAAAATAATTGACATTACACTGTTGCATGTTTACGTTACCAATTAGGGTCAGATAATCCTCTATGTTAAGAGCTCCACAAAAGCAAATTATATCTAAAATTATTTAAAGGCATTTACACATGTTACTCCTTCCATCTGTCGTTTGGTATAATATAGTTGCCAATGTCAATGCTTGCAACTTCAGAAAAAGTCTTCAGGGTTGATGACCTCTAAAATAATTTTAAGTTAATTTGGCAGAAAAATCAAGCCCCCTCGTGTTTATCCTCCCTCGGCCACAGGGATGAAAATTCGCAACCCATTTTGACAGTCTCGTAAAATTATTAGATATGCCTGATTTAAGGAAGCGCCTTTAAGATTACTGAGCAAAATCCTGCCTATCACATATTGTTTCTGAGTGGAACGATTAATTGTTTTCATCATTCTATACGTCAAACGCTAGTTCAAGCATCATCGCGCTTGCGTTAAGCTTTGGCACAGAAGTTTACTGGTGTGTATATAGACCCTGGAAAGCTTCGAGCGCTCTCCTTCCAGAACTTCTTTTAAAGACAATCGGTGCACTAACCTGGAGCTATAGGAGGGAGAAATTGAAAAATTGACGTGGTAAACAAGAAAAGCCGCTAATCCAGCGCCCGGTACAACGCGCTGCATTCCATCAGGTTTATGTACGCAGTTGAAGAACGGAAACTCCGGGAAATGTAAATTGAAAATGTGAAGTTACGCGGCCGTGCTCCGGTGTTAAATTTTCCGTAATCCGACGGCGGTTCGGACCGTAGATCTTGATTTTGTAATTTTGCGCGGTGGCGGCGTCCATCAGTCAGGTTAAAGGCGCGGGATTTCGCGGCGAGGGATGAAACGCCGTTAATGGGGGTTATTTATGTTGTTGCGTTTTGCAGGGCACGAGTTATCACGTGTTTGTTTGCTTTGGGAATACGCTTACGTTCTCTATATGCTGAGTGAAGAATTCTTGGTTTTAGTGGAAATTTCGAAATTGGAAAAATCCCGAAATAGGACCACGTTTAATGACATGCAGAGAAATCTTCCTCCCAAACACCAAAAACACTATGTTATTGTAGGGCATCTTAAATGATTTTTGTTTCACTTCCTTTCCTTCCTTCCAAAAAATCGATTCGTTAAAATGTATTGTATATGTAGGACTGTTTATCGTTAGTTTAAGGTTCTGAGGAAATAAACACAGTCCGACGTTCTGTCTAATTAAATAAGACTATATTTTCACTTATTTACACAGCGCACAACAACTTCTTTTACACTTGGCATGGACAACAATTCGTCTACCCGTCTTTCGTCTTACAATTCGTCTACTCGTCTTGCGTCTTATTAAAGAAAAAGAGTAAAGGGCAAGGCTTTCCGCGTTACCCACGTTTTTTTAGTTTAATCGTCTAAAACATAATGCCCGTGGTCAAGTGTCGTGACCTGCTTTTCGTTGGTACGCTTCAAAAATAGACCCGAACTCTCAGGAAACACTGCAAAGCGGCTTACTTTTGTGATCGGCTCACGTCCGTAAAAGAAATAATGTAAACATAACCCTCTATAATTGCACGCAGAAATAATAAACAAAGAAATACCGCGCTGGCGAAAACTAAACTAAAGGATATATTTTATCCACATATATAATAAATAATATCAAATAATGACAAAATAAATATTCAGGTGTTTACAGCTAATCATACAACAGCATGATTTTTTACCATAAATAACAATAATTGTGGCATAGAAAAAAATACAAAAGTCATAGAAATTTTCAGTTACATTACTAATTTAAACTGCAACTAACATATTGAAGCGGAGGAAGCGTGCAAAAAGGTACACAAATGACAGAAGAGGATGTTAAGAATTATTTCCAAAATTAATGTTAGTAAGTCCTGTATTTACTATATATCACATACCATTCAACTTGCAGCAGGACCCATTGTACTACAGGGTCAAGATTACAAAGTTGATAGATTGATAGATTCTGAACCGAGCCATTGATTTAAATATGTCCTTCATGTTCATTGATTCAACTGCTAAAATGTTGTTTAAACTCACCATTAACCTCATGCTACCAGGGATTAATGGAAGTCGTGCTTTTAGACTTTTTAGACTATTAAATTTAAAAAAATATAAAATTAAAAAAACTGTGTTACATATTGTTTTGAACATGTATAAGTTTGTTTTAAAGTAAACATCTACTTATCTACCACACGTATCCTTAAAAATGCCGCCCAATTGTCAACGTTGCCTCAATTTGATCTGAAATTTTGTCATGACAAATTGGGGAGCAACAGCGTCAACCCCGACAAATTATTTATATTTTTATATAATTATTTCTATTTCAAAGGAATGAAAACTAAAATGAAACCTTTCCAAGAAGATAGAAAACGACAACTTTCAGCATTCGATTGGGCTGGGCACCACCGCGTCAATATATCTCCGACCGACCGTCAGCCATACATCAAAATAATATCTCCGGGAGGCAGGCATCTGGCAACGTCGTCCGTCGTCATATATCTGTCAAAAGCACCGAGACGGGAGAGAGAAGAAAAGCAAACCCGGGGCCTCTCCGCCGCGCCGCGCTGAGAGACTAAATTACGCGTTGGATTATGTTTGGTTCCTGTCCATAAGTCATATTAAGACTACACAAAACTGGTAATAAATCTGTCAAACGCGGGACCAGGGGAAGGAGAACGATGGCAGCCAGCCATCACGGTGTGGTGTTGCCACGCCGACCAGGGTACGGAGAATGCACTGTTGCCGTCCCAGTTTTATAATCGTTGATACCTGATTTATTATATTATATTTTAAGGTTTGTTTATACCGATCCCAGTCTAATAATAGCATAACAACCGATTAGGAAGCTCAACCTAATCGTAGTTCATCCTGATTTAGGTCAATAATACCCTTAACAATCGTTAATGTTCTGATAATGGCCCCGTTTGTTAGGCGATATTGAAATCATACGACACGGGTGTGTCTTAGCCCTCTATCCGCAAACTGTGTAAGTATCATCATGAGTGTTAAAATGTCAATATTTTACTGTTTTCGTTCTGTAATTGTTGTTATATTGTCATTATATGCTTATCTGCAGAAATATGCTTATTATGATCTTTCGCTAGTACTGGTTAGGTATACTGACAACAAAAACAATTATCGCATCGTTAAAAATCCAGTGTACCAAAAATATATCGAGACTAGGTTCTATATAAATATATTCAAAGGATAATTGATTTCTCTAAAACCCCTAGGGATAAATTAGAGCAGATAGCGATGCGAGAAAGCAAAATGTACCGGGTGTTTGATGCAAAAACTCAAAAATGCAACTACTTTTTGAAAGAAGCGGGTATGTCACATTAGCAAAAATATAGATGGATAGATCATTATCGCGAATGTAATGTACCGAATTTCCAAAACGATTAAGTCTCGTTTTTCATAACCCCGTATGTAGTGTGACTTCCTTATTTTGGACACAGTAAATTACTACAATTACTACGTACTTGTCTGGTAAAATTCTGTATTTCATATTTGAAATTCAGAAAATCTACAAACTTATTTTAGATATCGTATTTGTAAATCGATAAGAAAATAATATTATTTTCTTGAAAATTGGCTGGGAACAACGAAATTTCGAAAAAATCGTAATTGCTATACTAAAATGGTAATTGAAAACAGGTTCATTTAATAAAAAGGAGTAAAGTTTAAAAGGCTGCATTCCAGTATAGTTGTTCCTCAGGATTATTGATTGATATTATTTGCAGTTGGTTCTAATTTCACTTCTCTATTTTTTAAATTTCAAAACACCTGTATAAAGGGTATCCCAATAGTGCGTCGCTGATTGAAGGAAATTATATTACGAAGTTGCCCAGATACATCAGACGCATAACCTAAAATTATTTTTAAGTCCGCAGGATGTGTAGAAATATAAAATTATGTTTTTTCATATGGAAACCCCTATGTGTTTCTTTATATTTGAATTCTACCATTGATTCTAAATATATTTTATATAACATATGCTATTGTTTGTTAAAACAAAAAGGTTTTTCAAACATTTTCCATTACAGCATGTATACATGCAATGTGGCAAGTGACAATAACCTCTTTTGTATCCGTCCATCGATCATTTTCGTGCTTGTAACTAAATGCTATTTTCCTTCAATGACCACAAAATGAAATAATTAATGGTTAAAGTGCTATATTTTTTCCAACTTCTAACTTTGTTCTATCCGAACAAATTTATTAATAACTAATAAAAAAAATTTAATGCCCATATATTCTCTTTACACCAAATTATGCTTCTAATAAAAATTAAAATTCTGCATCGAAAAGCAAATTGCGAAAGATATTTTTTAAAGGAACTGGCAATTCATATGTTTTTTCCTTTTTTACAGTAAAGTGTTGGTAGATTTAAAAGTGTTGTGTTCCGTTATTTTACTTATTTGTTGAAATGTTGAAATAACCAAATACTTAACTGAGGCTTACTAGTAAATAACGAGCGGTCGAACAACTTAAATATATAATTTTCTGGGATGAAAACACTAAAAGTATGGCAGACGGACGCGCAGTTTAAGGTTAATCGAATTAGGCCTAGAGAAATTCATCTTACCAAAACGAATCCACGAATCTACAGGTCCGGTAAACACTATTACAACAATCTAAGTCATTTGCACTTTAATGTAAAGCACTGTGGCGATATTTTCACGTCGGAAACTGCGAACAACTATGCAAAAGGCAATTTGTTTGTCTCACGGCGTCACGGCCGACTCTACATCGCGTGCCACTATGTTCGACATTCATGGCCGCTTACGGTCGATAAAAAAGGAGAGCTGTTTTACCGGCCCGTCGGCGCGGCGGATTCAGCGGATTATTAGAAACAGTTTGATCATCCATATGCTAGAATTTTTGGTTAATTTACAAAATAATGAACATTTACTCACGTATGTCTTATTTGAATATTGGTGGTTTAGTAAATACAGGGTTTTGAAAATATAAATCGATTTAGTTTTTTTTCTTTTTTTTTCATATTCCATTCCGTTCCATTTCCGTATTCCGATTTAACGTTTCTCGAAACTCAAAAGTATTTATTATAAGACATATTTCCGACGTTGAGGCCCGTAAAAGATAAAAATATGAGTCGGTGAAGCTCCTGGTCAGCTATCGAACCTCGCAAATTCTTCAACTTTTCTGCATTATCTATCTTGATATTTGGACAGCTGTTTTGATTGCGTTTTGTGTGAAAATTTTTGGGACGACAGGCCTTCATCTCACGTTATGATTTATAAAAAGTATAAAAACACGAAATAGAAAAAAAAATGGTTTATCGACCAATAAGGCAACCCGGAATCGATATTAGACAAACGTATGGTCCTACGAATTACAAAAAACAGGTCATTAAGTAAAGATAAAGATAAAGATAGCTTTATTTCCATAAGACTTGATTTACAAGTGTTGGATATTGTCAGTATAATACGAATGTAAAAGTATAAAATTTTCTTAGTATAATTAGTTAATTAATAATAATAATAATAATAATAATAACAATAATAGTAATAATAATAATAATAATAATAATAATAATAATAAGTAATAATGTTAGATAAACAACGAATATCTAAAACAATAATAAACAACGAATACATATCAAAAGGTATCACAAGAATCTCGCAGTCCATTTTTATGCTTTTATCGTATTTAGGATTAAAAAAGGAACGGACTGCGTATTAGGTGCCCTATTAGAAAAAGTTGTAGATCCCGAAATATTTCAATGTAAAATTTACCGTAAACCAAAGAGGTCGCTTTGCTAAAGGTTACCTTTGTTTTTACCACTAAATTAAAAAACGCAATGAAATATAGTTCGCGTTCCATTTAAAATTCCAAAATTGCTGTCTATACCGAAAAATTGGATATAATTAAAAAATAAATAATCTAAAAACTCCTAACTATACAAAGAATTTTTGTATATAAAGTTTCCTGATAACTGATAACTGATACAGGTTTTTTTATGTGAGCCACCCGGTACATTTTTTACAATGGGAAAACACTTTATTGCAAATTTTCAAAAATACAACTTTTTATAAAGGGAACCTTTTCCTTTTTAATGCTAAATACGATAAAAGTATAAAAATAGGATGTTTCCATTTGAAAAAAATTACTTAAATCGGCTTTTGTATTTAAATCTTTGACCACCGTGTATTTATTTAGTTATAAAATTTCATCCCAGGGCACTAAAGTAGATACTCTTTTATAAGGAAATCAGCTCTAAACATATAAGAAAAGCTTTCAGTTCAGAGAAATCGATAGATATTTTTGGATCTGCAAATGTTAGTGATACAAAAATTCAAAATATGCCAAAATCGGCGAGAAAAGTAAAGTGACTTATAACTTTTATCAAAAATTATTTATTTATTAATCAACATTAATGTTGTCCTCTTGAAAGTAATCTCCCTCAGATGTAATCCACTTGTGCCAACTTTTTTTCCAATCCTCGCAGCAGTTTTGGTAACCACTTTCTGGTGTAGCTTTGAGTTTTTCCAGCGATTTTTTCTTTATCTCCTCATTCGTTCCAACCCTCAATCCTTTCATGGGTTTCTTGACTTTTGGTAACAGGAAAAAGTCACAGGGGGCCATATCCGGTGAATATGATGACTGAGGCATGATTGTGGTTTTGTTTTTGGTCAAAAAGTTAGACACAAGCAACGATGAGTGAGCGGGTGCATTATCGTAATGCAAAATGCATGAATTGTTTTCCCACAATTCCGGACGTTTTCATCGTACTGCTTCTCGCAAACGGAGCATAACCTCAAGGTAATACTCTTTATTGACCGTAAGACCTTGTTGTAAGAATTTTTGATGTACTACGCCATAATCAAAGAAAACACTAAGCAAAGCCTTGACATTTCATCGAACTTGAGATGCCGATGTGTTCAGCCACTTCTCTAATAGTGACTACTCGTTTTTTCAACACCATTTGTTTCACTTCTTCAAGCTTTTCTCAGTTATTGACGTGCTGGGGCGTCCAGAGCGAAGTTCGTCATCGGCGTCTTCTCGGCCATCTTGGAACAGCTTGTACCGCTTATAATTTTTTTTTGTGCAAAGTCGATTCACCATATGCCTTTGTCAACATTTCAAGTGTTTTGCAACAAACATTTTTTACACAAAATTTTATGCAATTTTTTTTTCCATTTTATTTGACAGCAGAAAATCATCGACCACACGCTTCTAACGCTTTTGTCTCACAAAAAAAAGTAAACGTGCAAACTGGCTAAAACTGTGAACATGTGTTAGAGATATGTGTACCAATGTATGTCTAGAAAGTTGGGCGGAATTAAAAATGCACTAATATGCAGGGCGTTCTATTAAAAAAAAGAAGGTTTTGCTGTTCCCATGAAAATACGAACATCCTGTATCCTGAATTCAAACAACTTTTGTCTCAAAATTTAACTCTCTAGAGACTCTGGAGATGAAAATTATTTTTTATAATCATGCAATTAAAGGATTGATGATGTAGCCTAACATAGCAAAGTTAAACCCATCATTTATAAATCTATACATTTTTGCGCAGCCCAGCAAACTTAATGAGTGTTTATTATTTTTTACTTTTGTTTGAATATGGTTACACTGGTCACAAGATTAATTTGCCATTTCAAGACCTCCTATTTTTTTTACGGCATGCAGTATTGCAATATTTCTTTACAAATAATTGCTCGATTTTCAAATAGTATATGAATAAACTGTTGAAATAACATAAAAATCAAGCGGGGTAAGAGATATCAAGTTATATTCAAACACGTTGTTCAATTCTATAGCACTGTAAATAAAAAATATAATAAAATAATTTTTCATTTATAGCGAGAAAGAAAACATGAGGCGAAATCTCATAACCCTTATATATATTTTTTTGTGTCTTTAATTCTTGATCTGTTTATTTGATTATTATGATTATTATTATTATTAATATTATTACTATTATTATTATTACTATCATTATCATTATTATTATTATTATTATTATTATTATTATTATTATTATTATTATTATTATTATTGTTTTGTTATTATGTATTGTTGTGCTTGAAATTATTCGCAAATTTCTGAAACGGCCCCTTGAGTTTTAACACTGATTTTCTGCAAATTTTTCTTATACTTATACGATATTATAGTTAGAATGAGTACTAGTTTTAAAGCAGAGAGAATTTCAAATCTTTTTGTTCAATGCTATTTGCTCTATCTGAAAACAAAGTGGTGGATATGTTCGATATTTTCAACAGGTGAAATTTTTTTTGGCGAAGAGTTTGGTAAACTCGGAGCGTGCGGAAGATTCATCGAGGAGTGTTTGCCATTTCTTTGATGCATTGCGTTGCTATGACAAAAGGAACTACCGTTTTATTGTGAAAATTTTAACCAAAAAAATAACTGGATTAAAAAATAAATTAAGAAAAGAAAATGGACGGGCGATATACCGTGAGTTCAATTTATCTTGATAACATTTTAATTGGATGTAACATTTTTGTTTTTAGAGATATCAAGCTAAACAAAAAACAAAATGTAGGTTTAGTAGCCAAGTTTTTTTTCAAGTAACGGATAAAACAAAACACTATCAATTTTCTGATATATAAGCCTTCATCATATTTTTTTTAAATTTCAACTCCCTGTGTTTAATAGAATATTTTATTCCGATTACAATGATGTAACACACTTTAGATGGTTGAATTATTGTCCAAGTCATTATCGTTAAAATGGTTTTTCTGAATAATAAAAGTGCAACCGCAGCTCATCGTCAGTATATTAGACTTTAGCAAAGAAATTTGCAGAAAACGGTAACGTGCTAAATGCTAAAAAGGTATACCGGAATCATAATGTTTTAAATGAAGAAAATAGGGCAATCATATTAGGATTCTTCACTTCCAGTTTTCTCTATTACTAGAGTATATGAAGAGACAGGTATTTCTCGGGGATCAATCCACTCAGTTTTGAAATAATATAAATATATTTAAATTTCGTAAAACTAAAAAACTAAGTGCAGAACAATGTCAAAGGAGCATACAGTTTTGGTTGGATTTTTTTAAATAGACTGAGAGAATAATAATTTTTTGAAAAACATTTTATGGACCGATGAAAGTTCGTTCACTACAAGAAAGGGTTGTAGACAAAATACACGATATTGGTTTTAAATAATCCTAGACACACAAAATAAAATTGAAGAGGTACCAATCAATTAATATTGATATTTATAGATCAAAAGTTAATAGGAGATCATTACTTCGAACTCTTACAGCAACAAATAGAACAATGAATAGAAGATTTACTCCCAAATATATCAGCGCTGATTATATGGCAGCTAGACGGTGCCCCTTGTCACAATGTTGCGCAAGTTAAAAATTTTCTGAACATGGAATATCCCAGTGGTTGGATAGGGAACGCCGGAACTATGGATTGGTCGGCCAATAGCTCCGACTTAACTTTAATGGATTTTTTCTTTGAGAGACACATAAAAAATCACTTCCACAGAACTCCTTGTAATAATGTCATGGAACTTCGGCCATTGATTTCAGAAGCAATTAATCAGTTAAGAGACAATGCGGAAACGTTACTAAATGCAAGACATCATACAATTATTGTGTATGGGAAATGTGGTCACGTAAATGGTGGTCCCATACAGCAGCAGTGTTTAGAATTTTTTACTTTAGTGTGCATTGTCATTTTTAATGTTTTTGTTCTACTTTAATTTGTAAATAATTATTGTTATTG